CCTCATAATTGCCCGTCCTTTTTTAATTATTTTGAAAAACACCTGTACCATTGCCCGTCCTTTTCTAGTATTAAAGGGCCAAACGTGAAAAGGACGGGGGACGGGTTCAAGCCACACCTGTCCGTCCCCCGTCCTTTTCCAGCATCCCGATTTTTTATAGCTTGCATATTTCGATCTAGATGGTGATGGTTTTTCTAAGGAAGCAGGTTTTAAAAAAAACTTCAACCAAATTTTTCATAGTGTTCAATATTAGCTTTCAATATTCTCAAAATTACTATCCTTTTCTTTATAATTTGTTGACAAGGATGATGCTGTTTCTAATTTCATTTTCTAATGTGTGTTTGGTTAATTTCAAAAAAAAAATCATGTTGTTTGTATGATTAAAGACACCTGCCATAATTGGTTATTTGTGACAATGGTAACTACCATTATAAAATAATTACAGCTGCAAATAAATACAGCAGCTGTAATTATTTACAGCAAATAGCAGCTACCAACAGCTATTTTTGTCAATGGTAGTTACCAGTCCAATCATTTATGGCAAGTGTCTTTATATATGATCATATGTGGTTATGATAACTTTCCATATTCTTGAGGTCTACAATATATGAAATAGTTGAAAAATCACATGTAACAACTGAATCACTTATATAAGCACTTCTTAATTATTTGATATAGACATGATTTTTTCTAATAAATAAAATAAATGCTTGCAAAAGTAACAATTCTTAATAATCAAATTTTTAATATTGTTATCTTTCTCAAATTTCTTCCTTGTCTCAAAAATGGGGTTTCTTCACTAATCATCCCTTCCAATGACAATTAAAATATTCATATATCTGGTTGCATTAAGTCATTTATCAACTTCTTTACGTGTATGTGTTATCATTTTTAATATAAATAAATCCTACATCATATTATATTATTAACTTTATTTTTTTTTGATTGGTAGAATTTAATTTTAAGTCCTGATGTTAAAAGAATTAATTCAAATGCTATAGCAAATTTTGATGTTGATGTTAATTTTTTAGAGCAATTTGCTCAAAGTCTTGAAGATCCACAAATAGCTGATGCATTCATAGAATTAAGACAAGTATGATCTTTTTCAAATAAAAGTTTCTACTATAAAGATTTAATATTTAATGTTAATTAATATAAATAAATAAATTTGTTTATTTATTTAGATTGTTACCTTACTTCAATCTGAAAATATAGAAGAATATTTAAATCCTTCTACAAGGAACAAAAAATATTCTGGATTAAAACCATCTGACGTTATAAACTTATTTGAAAAGTAATGATTTTTCATATTAAATAATCAACAATAATTTCCTAAATAGTAACTTCCTTTATCTTAATTTTTCTCCAATAATAATAATAATAATAAAGGTGGTTACGTGATCAACCGTCATTATCAATGACACCAGAAGAACGTGCTAAAAAACGTGCTATGGAAGGTGTAGTAAGATCATTAAGAGCATCAATGTAACAATACAATGCATGCACAAAAACATACAAATTTATTTAAATTATTTTAATTTATATATATACACACACACAGTCAAAGTTTGTTAAAATGTATATTAGATAAATTCATAACTGCTAAATCCATAAATTTTCAGGAATCAATACCAGTTATATTAGAATTCTATTCAATAATTTCATAACCATAATAAAATTATAAAGTCATAACTCTCTTACTACTTGTGTGCAATCTCACCGGGACCATGACGTTGTAAAACTTTACACGATATCTAGAATGTGATTTATCATCAAACAACTCCCAAGTGCACACCCCCTTGGGAATGAGTGAAACAAAGCATCTCATTGGTTGCACGTGGCTCCAACGAAAAAATAACACAAGATTGATTTATTACTGTATATTAATCAATTACAATGCTGTTATTACAAAAAAAAATATACCTTTCTTTCCATATCAAGTGTCTGGGTATCATTACTTTTGAAGACATAAGGGCAATTTTCTCATCTTGTTTCTTTTTCAAAATGTCTCTAATAGTGCTGTAATT